ATGGGTTGCCTTCTGCACCTGCTCCGACTGGGGATCAAAGCCACAACCCAGGCATGTGCCCTGACTGGGAATCAATCCTCAACCTTTCAGCGCACAGGACGGTGCTCAACCAACTGAGCCACCCCAGCCAGAACCAATGAAAGCTCTCCTTGTTTCCCAGGGCTACCGGATGGGAGCAGCCTGAAGGAGCTGAGCTCATCTTGCTGCCAGGAGGGATGACCTGCTGAGCATGGCGCCCACCCAGAGGGCTGGGGAGGGCCCGGCCACCTTGCTGGAGCCCCTGGATCCAGTTGTGCCCGACGGTGATGCCACCTCCCGGACTTTTCACTCACATGGGTCAGTTAATCCCGTTGGGGCTGAGGCCAGCTTGAACTAGGGCAGTGATGGCAAACCTTGTGAGCTCGGTGTGTCTGCATTTTGAAAAACCCAAACTTAACTCTGGTGCCGTGTCACATATAGAAATTTTTTGATATCTGCAACCATAGTAAAACAAATACTTATATTTTTGATATTTATTTTATATATTTAAATGCCATTTAACAAAGAAAAATCAACCAAAAAAATGAGTTCGCGTATCATAGGTTCGCCATCACTGCACTAGGGCTTCCCTACTTGCAACCAAACCCAGCCAAGTGGCTTCTCCCTTTGCTGGAGGAAGTTCCGGGCACGGCCTGCAGGCTCAGGAGGGAGATGGGCAGTGGGGACAGATGCTGGGCAGCAAGGCGGGGAGCCACAATAAGCCAACGTGAGCCCAGCGTGTGCTGCTTCACAGAGGGCCTGACCTGTCCCTCTGCGGGAGCTCACAGTCTCTCCCATGTTCTCTCCCAAGTTCAAGGGCAGAGAACCGGTATCCCAATGAAAGGAGCACTGACCGGCCCAGGGACCCTGACCCCACTGACCTGTTCCCTCACCCTACCTCTCCTCAGTCCCATCCTCCCCCTAAACTGCCCCACATTCCGACCAAACCCCTCATTCCACTGGCTGCTCAGGAAGGCGTCCCTCCAGGCTCCCCACCAAGGGAGCCGCCCTTCCACCTGCCGGCCCTCCTTGCTCCTAAGGCCTGAAGTCACACCTCCTTGGGGAAGCCACCCTCAGGGAGGCCACACCATCCCTTGGACAACTGAAAGTGGAAGATGTGGCCGCATTCTTCTCTCTCTCCCCTCTTCTCGGAAAAGCTGAAACCCTGCCCCCAGCATCCTCTACGCCCCCACATCCTTCCTCTGGGGCCTGGGAGGAAATAGGGAAGTGACCCAAGACTCGGCCCTAGCACCTGCTTCCCAGGGACACCGCCCAGGCCTGGCTACGACCACCGCCTCCTCCCAGCTCCTGAGGGGCCCAGAAGGATGTTCCGACCCCGTGCCTGCTGCCGACCACAGGCATGGCGCCTCCACAGCTAACTGGCACTCAATTAGATGGCAAATTAAGCATCGGTCAGGGCCTCCTGCAGGCGCAGGGCGGGGGCTGCCTCTTCTCCTGCTGGATTACCATAATCCTTTAAGACAGGCCCTCTCTGTGCCCCCACCCCACCTCCTGACCCACCGAGCACAGGTCTGGGGGAGAGGGGGTTATGAGGGCACCGCCAAAGAAACACCTTCAGGCTGGTGAGCTGCTGGCACAAAGGGCCCTTCGCAAAGAAGTCCTCCTGTCCCACCTCGCCTTTTCCTGAGCACCTACTATGTGCCCAGGATGAAGCCAGTCCCTTACAGATGCAGCCTCTGAAGAAGGTTCCATCTTACAGATGGGGAAGCAGGCACAGAGAGGTTTGGTGGCTGGCCCAGAGCCACACAGCCACAACTCACAACTCGGGTCTTGGCTCACGATGGGGAGAGCAGAACTGTGCCTCACTGGGTTCTCTCCCAGCGCCCAGACTCAGGCATACAACAGATATTTAATAAATGCTAAACACACTGGGTTGAGACTGGGTCCCCCTCACCCCACCACCCTTCTAGGGACAGGCTGCCAGCTCAAATGCTTCCCACTGGCATTCACTGAGTCCCTGCTATGTGCACAGCCCCGGACTCGGGGCTGGAAGATGTGGACCCCAAACAAGAGCAGGAGTCCTGGTCAGTTGAGGCTGGAAATCCCAACGTCCTGCAGAGGCTTAGGGCCTCCCCTGTGGTTTAGCCACGCAGCCTCCACTGGCTCTCGCCCAGCACAGAAATCCACATGACTGCCTCACTGCCCTCAGTCAGGCACTGCTCCTGGTGGACTCCCCTTCCTCAAAGCCCGTCTGAGGCTCAGGCCGGAGGGGCAGGAACCAGAAGAGCGTGAGCAGACAAGGTTCAAGGATTCCTGACGAGTGTCTCCGAGTCCAGTGCCAAGAGGCTGGGGCTGCTTCCTAGGATAAATGTCTAGACCGGAGCCCCAGGAACCTCCTCCTGCTGGGAGCCAGCCCCTGGTTCATATTGGCTACCTCAGTTGTGCCATCTGGAAAATGGGCAGAAACACCCCTTTCCTAGAGAGATGAACTGCAGGCCGGTACCAGGACCTCACCCTGGTCCCTTGCAGCCCTCATCCAAAACAGAGGGCCGGCAGCCAGGTCTGACAGGAGATGAGCTGTGGTCTCAGGACCCTGCGGTCCCCCATCCCCAGTCCAGTCATCCCACCTGGCTGGGCATTACCACCCCAGCCAAAGTCTCCAGCACCCCATTTGGTCATTCCTGGCACACGGCTTGGAATAGCCTGGGAGGCTCTCGGGGCAAACGTAAGAGGTCACCCTGCAAGTGAACTCACCCCAGAAACAACCAATAAAAGGTATGCCGCATTTCCACTTGTATTTTTCCCGTTCCCCACTCTACCACCACACCTGGCCCTGGTACCATTAATTAAGCCTATTCACCCCGTAGCACCGGGGGCGGGCCCGGCCCATAGCCAGTGCAGAATCAGCCCGTGGAGCCCAAGGGACCTGCATGAGCAAAAGAGCCTGGAGACATGTGGTTCCTGACGCAGCGTGCCCTCTCCACCCAGGAAGAGCCTGGCACCCCTACTCCGGGTGCCCAGGGCCAACGGGGAGACCAAGCCACGGGCCTTTCAGCCCAGCTCATGTGGGGAAACGGGAAGAAAAATGGTCTTAGAAAGAGGGGTTTGGATTCAAATCACCAGTCTGCTACTCCCTGACCCCCTAGGGCTGCTGAAATATTAAAGGTGAAATTAAACCCTAGTCAGTCCTGGCACGATGTGCGGAAAGGGGCCCTCCTATTGCAGGTGGGAGTACGAACCGGCTCAGGCTTCCTGGAGGGTAGCTGAGCTAAGGGTGTAAAAAATATAGCCACACTCTCACCCCAAAGTGCCACTTCTAAGGATTGGTCTGCAGGGAATAGTCAAGGACACGTACGGTGCCCTGGCCGCATTGGCATGCAAAAAGTAATCAGCACGCCCAACAACAGGGACTGGTGAGATGCGCTGCCACGTGACCGGCACGGCACAGCTGTGCAATCTGGTGCCAAAGAAGAAAATTTAATGACGTGGAAATGTTTCCAACATGTTAAATGAAAAGGAAAAACAAAAAAAAAGAGGTGATGAAATAGTGGAGGCAGAGGGCAGCCCAGGCCTGGCTTACCGTAGGGTTTGGTGAGGCCTCGCACCGAGACTGGTTGGAGACACAGGTGTGCTGCTGGGTGCACCAGAAACAGGGCCACTGTGTGGACAGGCAGCTGGTGCAGCTGGAAGACAAGGGGATACTCAGCTCCCGACCCTTACTCCGCCCCGGCCCCTCACCGCCGCAACCCAGGAGGCAGATCCCAACACCAGGGAAGGTCGTCCTCATCATCAGAGCTGCCAGGAAGGCCTGTGCACTCCGTAGCGTAGTGAGTTCCCCACCGCAAGAGGTATGCAAGAAGGGGATGGGCAGGCAGAACCTTCAGGAGACTAAACGAAGAGTACTCACAGCACTTTTCTCTGCCCCGACCAGCCTAGGTGCTCACAGAGCCCAGGCACCGAGGTGAGAATAGTTTGTTGTCTAAATGAGTTGGCGAGTGAACAGCTGAGGGGGCCTTTCTGCCTCTAGGACACTATCATTTTTCTTCCAAAGGCTTCCCCCACGAGCGAAAACCTCCCACCACCTGGAAGCTAGCCCCCGCCCCACTCACGCCGTGTGGGGGTACACTTGTCCGATGCGGCTGCAGTCATAGATGGTGAAATTGGCCCTGACGATGTTCCGCCCGTTGACCCTCACAGACATCTCCACGGTCACATGGTCTGGAATGGATCGGGGGATCCAGGGGGAGAAGGACAAGGGGGTAGAGGGGTCTCCACTGACATCAGAGTCTGTGACATAAAGACCCTCATGCCTGAGATCCACCATTGCACCCCTTCGGGGCTGGGCATCTGAGGGACCCCAGATGGCTGTCTCCACAGTCCAGTGAACGGAGAGCTTACCTTGGTGTGGCGGGAAGGGCGGGAACTGGTCCTTGGGTAAGAGGTTGCAGTAGGCGATCTGGTGGCCGAAGGCAGGGCCTGGGACCCGGGCCACAGTACGGATATTGTTGCCGTAGTCACAGGCCATCTCCATGCCACTGAGGCCGGGCAGGCTGCCAGAGATCTGGAGGATCATGCCCTGGAGGCGAAGGACCCTTAGCTGGGGGGCAGGCCCTCCCCTTATAGCCCCGCCCCCAACCTAGCCACCCTGGGAGAACCAATGGTGTGGGGGCGTGGCTAGGACTCTAGGTTGCAGCCTGCATGTGACCAAGGGCTTCAGTCTCCCTGTCTGCAAAATGAAACTCATCTTACAGTAGCCAAGGAGGCTCCGCAAGATCTGGCCCATGACCTCTCTGGGCCCATCCGCTAATACTCTCTCCAACCCTCCAATCTCGTTCTCACCTCCGTGCCCTCTGCCCAGAATACTCTCCCCAGATACTCGGCTTGGCTCACCTACTTCACATCTTTGCTCAGATGTCACCTTTGCGGGGAGGCCCCCCACCCTAAAATGTCAGCACCCCCAACTCCATCTCCACCCCTCTCTCTCTCTCTGTCCTGCTTTCCTCTCCGTGGCGTTTACCACCATCTTGACCATCTGCCTTGCTCATTTTCTCTCACCCCAGGAGCGTGTCAGTCCCTCAAGGGCCAGGGTTTTGTCTGAAACAGGGGACAGGTGAGGACACCCAACGCCAGAGAGGTCACTGAGGGCAGGGCGGGTGGGCCTCGGGCCTGCTGTCCCTCTGCCCCAGCTCTTTGCCAGGGTCTGGAAGGACTCCTGCCCCAACGCTATGGTGGGGAGGGGCTGAGGTAGCTCGAGGCCCTCCTGGGCACAGGCAAGGGGGGAGCCACTGGCCCCCACAGAGTCACCTGTTTCTGAGAACGAGAAATAGCAGCCTGGCACTTGGTGGTCCCTCCACCCCCTCCCTTGTTCTGGGGCTGGAAAAAGACAGAAAGGGGGAGCGGGGGGCTCATTCTCCTCCCATCCTACAATGTGCCCCTCCTTCCTGGGACTCTGGAGCCTGCCCACCTGAGTTCAACTCCCAGCTCAGCTACTCCCTAGCTGTACGGCCTGTACCCCTCTGTGCCTGTTTCCTCGTCTGTAAAATGGGGACGTAAAGAGCACCCGCTGCATAGAGTGCTGGGGGGCCGACCAGAGGTGACCGCCACGCACACAGCACGTCCTGACACTCGGTAAGGGCTCCGAAAGCCAGCCATTCTCACTGAATTGTTGTCTCTGGGTCCCAGGGGCACTACGGGCAGGAATCCCCACCTCTCAGGGCTTGGGTGCCAGGTGAAGGGCAGCTCCCCATCCTGTACCCCCCACAGTGGGTCCTGCCCCCCAAAACTCACTGGGTACTCCTGGCGCACATCAATCTCGGCAGGCAGGACTGTCATGGCGGGACAGCGGCCAGGGCCCTCGCTGGCGCTGGTCCAGAAGTGCTGCTGGCTGGAGTTGGCGCAGTCCTGCTGCAGGGTGCACCTGGAGCGGCAGGACACACGTCAGGACCCCTGTGGGCTGCTTTCCTGCTGCAGCCTCCGGGCCCAGACCCTGCCCCTGCCCCTGCCCGGGGCCTCACCGTGTCTCCAGGGCACACCAGCCGCAGTAGGCATCGGCCGCACCCACGCAGTCCCCACAGGTGGTGTGCACGGCACACGCAGCGACTTTCACCCTAACCATCTGGAGGTAGAGGCAGGGGCCCAGCTCAGTGAGGTTGCCAGCCCCTCCCAGGGGACTCGGCCTGTGAGGGCCATGAGAGGAGGGGGAAACTGAGGCTCGACACTCTAACGGGGGTAACATGGGAATAAGGCTTCCCTGCATTGGGAGGTGAAGGGTGAGCAGGCAAAGGAGGTGGGGGACTGAGGTGCTCCTGGCAGGAGGAACAGTGTGTGCAAAAGCCAGGCAAGCAAGACAGCTCAGCTCATCCTGGGACCTTGTCAGGCCGGGGCACTGGCCTTACCTGGTGGGACGTCATCAGGTAAAGGTAGCCAGGGTCTGCTGGGTCAAACTGCATGACGTGGTGCACCGGCTCCCCATAGGCCACCGTCACCACCCGCCGGCTGACCACCTGCATGCTCTCATTCAGGTTGATCTGCGGAGGAGGCGGTGGTCAGGGTGATGGTGTGCTGGGGGAGGGGGGGTGCCCACAGCAGGGGGAGGCCAAACGCAGGGGAGCTGTCACCGGGCGGAGGGGACCTGACCCAGGCTTGGGGGCTCAGCCTCCCCATCCCCTCGGGCCCTCCAGGACTGGTGGGAAATCACAGACACGGAAGGGCGATGGGTCCAGCCGCTGCCACACTTTTGCCTCTGCTGTGCTCCTATCAGGAGCTCCCTCTCTGCTCCTCACCAACACATCCCACCCTGTGAATACGTGCGGGCTTTACAGTCATAAACATTTTCTGGGAGGCCGTCTGGCGTCACGCCTAAGAGCAGGAACTTGGGTTTGGATTCTGGCTTTGACATTTACAAGCTGTAAAACGGACAAGTTGTCCAAGGCACTCCCCGTCTATGGGCCTTGGTTTCCTGAGCTAATGGGGCTGACAGTACCTGCCCCACAGGGCTGTGGGGAGCACTGAAGGAAAAGATGCATGCCAAGTGCCCATGGGGCCATACTGCTCATGCCTCCCCCCTCACACCCATTTTGCAGATGAGGAAACTGAGGCCCAAGGAGGCTGCGGGACTTGGCAGGCATCATAAAACGAGGACTCCTCAGAGTCACGATACAACCTCGGCCTGTCTGACCCCAGAGTCCAAGGCTGGAGCTGGGTCATGGGGTCCAATGTCCAGGCGGGAGGACAACCAGGACTAGCTGGGGCCTGGAAGCTTCTCTAGCTGAGGGTCCCTCTGTGTCCCTCAGAGTCCCTTCAATCTGCTCTTTTTCGACTGGCCTTACTCACTCCCAACATGCGGCACCAGGCCTGGGCTCGTACCACTGGTCAGGGCCTTCCTGGGGCTTCCTACTGCCCAGGCCTCCTCTGGGGGCTCTAAAACCTTTAGTGAGTCCTTCCTGATTATGTAATAAACTTGTGCAAGTCCTAATGATCTGACCCTAACTTACTGCCAGCCTCATCTCCACTCACTCAACCCAACTCACAAATTCCACTTCCAGGCCTTTGTCCCAGTTGTGCTCCCTTCTGGAATATCTCTCCCCGTCCCACCCATGTGCCAACGAGGCCAGCCTCTGTTCTCCCAGTGTCTCCTCCAGAAAAGCTGCTCGCCTGCCCTCCACACACCAAAATGAAATGACTCTCTCCCCAGGTTCCCACAGGCTTTTTTCCAGCCCCTGAGACACCGCCAGTCCCAGGTGGCCTGTTCGCAGTCTGTCCAAGGCAGCTTGGCCCGGGTTCAGTATGCTGCCCCAGCCCCACCCCCATGCATCCAGCGGGCACTCAATTCATTTCTATTCCTTCAAATGTTTATTGAGCACCTACTGTGCTCCAGGGCCCGGGCTGGGTATTATGATCTCAACCCCAGGCTGGCGGGAGACAGAGTCTTCACAGAGCAGGACGGTGGGTGAAGAGGTGGGTTGAGGGGTAGTCTGTGCTTTGGGCCAGCTGGACCTGAATTCAAGCCCAGCTCTTGCTGTGTGACTTGGGGGCAACTGTTTTCCCTCTCGGAGCCTCAGTGTCCCCATCTGTGAAATTGGAATCATGGCTCTGCCTCCCTTGCAGGGGTGTGAAAATTAAAAGAGGAAATGCCCATGATGTGCCCTTCGAGACTGGGTAGACAGTGGGTGCCTAATAACTGCAGCTTCATGGGCAGGGAGTAGCGGAGACTCGTTGTGTCCCACACACAGAGGCATCATCGCAGGAGACTCTGACCACAGTCCTGGGTGGCCCAGTTCATTTTCCACATGACGGACAAGGAAACGGAGGCTCACTCAGGACACAGAGCTGGGCGTGGCAGAGCCAGGATCCAAATCCAAGTATCTGACCCCAAAACACGAGCCCCACTGTGTAAGGGCCTTCCCTGGGGGGCTCAAGGGCTGAGGACAGCCCCCGACACCTGGCCTCTCCCCCACACCGTGAGTGGTGCAGCAAGGGTGCCAGGGCCAGGTGGGCTGGGCTCCGCACCCCACTCCACCCCAGCCCCAGCCTGTGGCGTCTGCCTGGGCAGCTGAGGGAATTGGATTATCGGATCTGAGTCCATTAGGCCAGGGCCTGGTGCTCACTGAAGGCCTGCCAGGCAGCTGCCTTCCTCGACAGGCAGGGAAAGGGAGGTGGTTGAGGGGGGCAGGTCCAGGCCCTCCCCATCCTGCCCCATCCCGGGAATCAGATCCCTCGCGCCTTCCCAGCTCCAGAAACCTCAGGCCAGGTGTGACTGCCTCTGGAAACCAGTCACCTTGGGGGTGGGGGTGAGGGGAACTGGGATGACAGCCCCCACTTGCCAGGCGGTGGCCTCCCCCCATCAAAGCCCCACAACCGTCTCAAGAGGCAGGGCTGACAGCCCTGCACAGATGGAGCCAGTGAGGCCCAGAAAAAGGAACTACGTTGCCCCGGGTCAAACAGCCTGAAAGTGGCAGAGCCCAGAGACTTGGCCGCAGCTCCACGGCCTCAAAGCCCCAGCGCAGACACGGAGGGAAGGGCCGGCCCCTGGCAGAGGGCTCCCTTCTCCGCACGACAGGGCACTTGCTGTCATAGCAGGAGGGGGAGGAACGGATGTGGAAATGCTCTGTGAACTGAAGTGCTGGCAAATCGGAGGACATGACGGTGAATATTGGACCTCGGCCTCCTCCCCCGTCCCTCCCGGCCTCCCCCGCCTCACCTTGAGCAGCCGCCCACTGGCTGTGCCCAGGAAGACCACCGTGTAGTTGCTGACACTGGCCACGGCCACGGAGGAGAGGCCTGGGGCTCGGAACACGGGCGTCGCCTTCAGGGGCTGCAGGATGGACAGCGGGTGCTGCAGGTGGGCGGCTCCACAGTCCAGCTGCTCTGGCTGCAGCTGGAAGAGAAACCGCACATCAGACCTCGGCCCCAGAACCTTCTCCGCGCCCTGCCCGCATGTGTGCATCTCCGGGCTCAGCACCACAGCCTTAAAGTTTTGCTTCTGCTTTATAGGCCCAGCTCTGGGCCGAGACCCAGATACGAGCAGGGTCCCGCCCCCGACCCCAGACTGACCCCTGACCTTGGCTTTAGACACAAAATTTCCCCAAGATGATGTTTCAGGTCCATAGGAGCCATTCTGGAGGAGCTGTGGGTGGGGCAAGAAGGGCTGGCAAGGGGACAGGTCAGTGTGCAGGGGGCGGGGAGGTTGGGATAGGGGGAGCCTTACATACCCTCATGCCCTTGTAATAACAGGCTGCTCTTCTTGGCTGGTCACAGGCTGGCAGAGCAGAGGAGCCCACACCAGACCCATCCTCTGCCTCAGCTATGTCCCCACAGCAACCATGGGGTACCATCCTCCCAGGCCCCCTGCCCTGACCCCAGTACCACCTCCAATTCCCAACAGCTCACAGGACTCCAGGTTGAGGCCTCCCCTCCCCTCAAGCACGCATCCCCTCATCTACCCACATTACTGGTGGGCAAATCAAGGCTAGATGCCTCCAAACCCCCAGTCCCACCATCCAGATCAGTCCAGTGCCACCCTGGGTAGCAAACCAGCCCCACCTCACAGGAGCATGAGGGCTGCGGCTTCTGATCCCCGTGCCCCGCCGTTTCCCGGACTTGCCCCCACCTTTCCCACCCTTCTCCAGGTCTAGGTGGTCCTTTCAAAGTTTCCAAAAATACAAAGCAGATCCCAGGAAACGCCTTTGAGAAGATGACTGTGCACATCCACAAGGATGCAGATACAAGCGCAGTTCAGAAGACCGGATGGGGGACACAGCCTCCTCTGACAGGACTGAGCCGGAAACTACAGAAATGACGGCACATAGTCCCGAAAAGCCACTCCCGCCCCTTAGTGCCACACACACACACACACACCTGCACCGATTGTGACAGAAGGGCATCTGGTTGAAGAATTCACGGGATGTCAGAGCCATTTTGGTAAAACAGATGCATAAACAACAAAGTAAAAGTCACGACAGTAACCATGCCAGGTTTGCTGGGAACAGGCAGTGGGCCAGGCCTGGGCATCAATTCCCTGAACCCTGGAGGCCCTCTGAGGCCACACGTCACAGATGAGGAAACTGAGGCCCGATCACCAGCTGCCATGCCACAGACTGAACCTGACGGCAGACTTGAACTCACACTGGCCCCCAGAGGCCAGCGTGTGGGCTTCAGAGGCTCGGACAGGGACTCAGACGGTCACCAGAACATAGCGTTGAAACGGGCTTTAAGGTACAGCTTAGTGAGGCTTTTTTTTTTTTTTTGCTTATCTGTGCTTTTTGCAAAACCTAAGCCATTGACTATGTGCCTGTGTGATATTTGCAGAAAAGCTCAGCTAGTTTTCAAAAGAAAACAATAAATACTGGGTCCTTCTGTCCTTGAGCAAACAAACATAGTTGTGGCTTCATGGGCTTCTAGGCAAGGGCTGTTTCCCAGCACAACCCTGAGAGGTTGAGCCCGGAGTCTAGAGTCGGGGTGGGGCTGGGGTGCCCTGGGCAAGAACCCATGAGTGGGGTAGTCTTCCGTGGGATGGCTGGAGGTGACCTGAGCAAGTCACTTCTCCAAGCCTCAGTATACTCAGCTATAAAATGGGTGCATCTCTACCACCTCCCTCCTAGGGGCTGGGATGAGATAATTCATTGAAAAGCACTCCCAGCAGGTTTGGCCTATGGTCAATGCTCAGAGTGTTAGCTGATACTATTGCTGTTCTGATATGATCGTCACTACAATTATTATAAAGTGGAATCGGGCAAATCATGCCTACCTCAAAAGCGTTTGAACCGCCCTAACCGGTTTGGCTCAGTGGATAGAGTGTCGGCCTGCGGACTCAAGTTTCCCAGGTTCGATTCCTGTCAAGGGCATGTACCTTGGTTGCGGGCACATCCCCAGTAGGGGGCGTGCAGGAGGCAGCTGATCGATGTTTCTCTCTCATCGATGTTTCTAACTCTCTATTCCTCTCCCTTCCTCTCTGTAAAAAAATCAATAAAATATATATATTTTTAAAAAGCGTTTGAATCTGACCCCTTAAGGGTAAGGCGGCCATTCTCTCATACAGGAGGCCCTTCGGTCCCCCACATTTCCCCAGAACACAGCAGCCAAGTGAGCCCTTTAAAATGCAAAGCAGGTCTTCCCCGTTTAAAACCCTCTATTGGTGACTTACAGAATAAACCCTGAATCCTAAATCCTCCCTCCCATCAGGCCCCTGGGACCTTCAAGCCCATTCCATACCGTCCTCCCCTCACCCGTCCACTTCAGCCACACCGGCCTCAGTTATTTCTCGCACATTCCAGGCTGGGTCCTTTGCCCTTGCTGTTCCCTCTGCCCGAGGTGCCATTCCCCCGTTGGTCATATACAGTTGGCCCTTGAACAACACAGGGATTAGGGGCGCTGCCTCCCTGTGCAGATGAAAACCCGCGTATAACTTCTGACTCCCCGAGTCGTCCCTAGGTATCCAAAACCTGAGGGCGCTCAGGTCCCTGACATAAAACGTCACAGAATAATGCACGATCTGCCCTCCACGTCCACTCACTCCCAAACACAGATGCAAAACAGTGCTTTTGATCCGTGCTCGGTTGAATCTGTGGATGCAAAACATGAGGATACAGAGGGCCGACTGTACGTTTTTTAAAAGCTGCCTGTAAGTGGACCCGTGTGGTTCAAGCCCGCATTGTTCAGGGGTCAGCTGTAATTGGCTCCCTCTCGTCCCTCAGCTTCAGTCCTGCTCTGCCCCACTCCATCCTGTGTGTGTGCCGAGCTGGGGCAGCCCTGGAGAGGGGGCACTGCACCCCCTCCCCAGCCGCCTACCCCAGCCAGGCCCCCCTGAGCCACCCCGCAGCTGCAGGGAGGAGGCGAGCGGGCTGTGTCTGCACTCAGGCCCTGGAGGGACGCTCTCCCTCGGGGTTACATAACTTTTCTTCACTGAATATGGATTACTTGCATCATTAAACAATAAGTTGTTTTAAAATTAAAATGGCAAACCTTTGCCCAGAGGATGTGACTTTCCTCCCTGAGCTCCAGGAGTCTGGGAAGGAAGGGAGACTGGAGGCCCCCATGTCACCTCTGAGGTTTCCTGCCCTGGGCCCTGCGATGGGAGGCCCCAGCCAGCCCGGGCGGGGGGTCCTGGGAAAAGCCGGACAGGCGCCCAGCTCCGGGTGATTTGTGGGCCAGGGCAACAGAGACGATGAGGGGGGGAGCGTGCTGGGAATTCGGCTCTCGCCTGCCTGCCCTGACGTTCACAAGCCATTAATTCTGTGCCGAAGGAATTTTCTAAAAAGCCTTTGCTCCAACTTTTTTTTTCTCATCCTAAAAATAAAATTTTAAAAAAATTTTTTTAAAGGAGAAGTAACCCATCGGCCGCTCGGATGATCTGTGCTCTGAGGGGTAAGCTGACTCCCTCGCCGCCAGGGGAAGTCACAAGGCTTTGAACTGGCTCAAGAATGGAAGCGGGAAATGCCTCCCCTGTTGGGGGAGGGGCCGCTGGCCCGGAAAACGGGGACAGCAGGCTTGGGGACCAGGCAGCTGTCCCACGTGTGGCCTCAGCCGAACTTGGTCTCCTGGGGAGGCCGGCTCCATGGGCCCAAAATACCCCTCTGACCAGACGACACTGCTTGGAACTCCTTCCTTAGCACACGCCTCCCTTCAAGTCTCACTCTGCGTGGGCCTGTCAGAAACAGTCATTCCCCCGGCGGTGGGGGGAGGGACGGACTGTCCCAGCAGCTCCCTGCGGCCCACAAGGGTCACCTTTCCAAGAGCCAAACTGGCCAGCCCTCCCCAGAGTCCAACCTTGCTCTGGCTCCCAGCTGTCCTCAGTATCAAGCCTGGCACCCAAGGCCTTTGTGATCTGGGTCGTGCCAACTGGTCAGGCCTCAGTCTCACTTCTTCCCTGTGCCCCACCCTCTGCGGCGAGACACCGATCTCTGCAGTTCCTCAAACGGGGCCACATTTCCCCTCCAGGGCTCCCGAACCTTCACAATGCTGTTTCCTCAGCGGCCAGTGCCCTTTCTGCACCTCAGAGCCACTCAGACCCCTTGTCTTCACCCCGCGGTTCCCTTTGCCAGGCATGCCCAGCCAGTACGTTTTTAGCCAGCCTTCGAAGTGTGACTCAAAACAACCCCCCTTCCTCGGTAAAGGCTCTGTGCCCATCACCCCCTTCATTTATCACGGTAGCCTGTGCCCGGTAGTCTCCAGGGCAGAGACGGAGCTCTGGGGTGAGTATTTACTAAAGAAAGAAAACTAATTCTGACTAAAGTGTGAACAACTGCATTGGCCTGCTCCCTTCCAAGCAGGGAGACTGAGAGCAACACTGCCAGGCTGAGTGCTGGAGAACGAAGGGAAAACTATGGGTCAATCGTACGCCTACTCTGCGTGTGGCCACGCAGGGGAGGCGGGTGTCCAGGCCCAGACAACACCTGGCGGCTAGTGTTGACTCCTCTAAGAACTTCCGTTTATCCCTCTCTAAAATGGGACGGGCAGCAGCCCCTGGTCTCAGCTCTTTTCTGAGAGCAGGACGCTCCCTGACCTGTCCGGCTAGCTGCCTCCTGGTGCCAAAGCTCAGCTCTGCCCACTCTCCCATTAAAACTCTGACATATCGATTTCAGGACCAGCTGTAATTGTGTTGACTTTCTCTCCCCAGGAAGCCAGTTGGAGTAAGAGCTTCGAGAGCCTCGCTTCTCAGGCCTCCCACATCCTGCCCGCAGACCCCACCAAACCTCAGTCGCACCGCAGGTGGCGCTCTGAGGAGGATGAGGCGGCGATGGTGGGCACCATGGCAGGCTGCAAGACCCCGTGGTTCCGTCCCAGGTGGAGACTACACCGGCTGTTGGGACTTTGTATATCTTCCTGCCTCAAGTTTTTTTATTGTTATTGAACTGTGATCTTGGGCAAGTGAGGTTTCAC